GGCATGCCATATCATACCCCGGTGAGGACCTTTGTTGCCTTTCCATTTGTTCATCGGACTTGAATTCCATGCATGGTTGGTTGTGGTTGATAAGTGGTCTTGTTGAGACTTGCATTGATCCATGAACAAGGTGAGAACTTTTCGTTTGCCCGTTTTTGGTGGCTTCGAATGTCGTTTGTGGTGAATGTTGGTATTGCTTGCAACGATCCATGTATTGATTGCCAATAGCCATTGAGAATTCCCACTTTGTACCCTTTGAGTTGTCCCCAAAGTATTTGTGAAGGTTGAAATATTACCTTGTGTGAAATGGTTTGCTTCGGGACAAGCAAACGTCTATGTGTGGGGGAGTGATTCGGGCCTAATTGTACATATTTTGCACCCATTTTCCTTAGTCGTTTGTGGCCATTTCACTCCTAAAAGGGTGGTTTTACGCTTGGTTTCTCGTGTTTTAGTGTGTTTCAGGATTTAATAGGTGAAACCAGGACCGGAGTCGAAAGTTGGACGAAAAGGAGCGAAAACTGGGAGAAGAGGTGAAAAATGGCGAGTTCACGGTTTTCCTTGGATGCTCACGGTCTTGTATGACCGCTAAGAAGAGCCGTTGGCCATGAACAATGAGGCGTCCAGGGCCAAAATGCAAGTTACTAACGCTAATTCAGTTCACGGTCGCTAAGACCGTGAACAAGTGTTGTTGGCCGTGAACCCGTGTAAGCAAAGCGGTGCGTTTCGGCGCCCATCTGAAGTTCACGGGCGCGTTTCAGAGTTCACGAGCGTGAAGTCAGGCCGTGAACTGAGTTCGTTCACTGTTTAAAAGCTGGTTGAAAGGAAGAGATGGGGGGGGGGCCCATTGTGTGAGAAAGCCTTCTTCAGATTTTTAGAGAGAGAAAGACGAACCAAAGGAGAATGAGGATAGGGTTTTGCTCCAAGGTGGGACTTGAGAAGATTCTCCCCAAGAGAAGTTCAACACAAGGGTCTAGAAGATTGGAAACCTCCCCCAAGATGGTTTCTACCTCTTCTCCTTGTGTTTCTCCCATTTCTAGCAAGGAGTAGATTTCTTTTCACTTGGGTGTTGTGAAACCCTAACTAGCTACCATGTAGTTTCTTTTATGTGAATTGAACGATTTTCATTGGGTAATGTTTAATTCAATGATTGAGGTATTATTCATGTGATTGTGCATGCTTGTGCTTAGCAATCTAAGGATTGTGCATGTTTTGTGCTTAACATTCTTAGGTTTGTGAATGTTGGTGCTTAGCAACCTAAGGATTGTGCATAATTGTGCTTAGCATCCTTAGGTTTGTGCATGTTGGTGCTTAGCAATATAATTAGCCACTTTAATCTAGATTAGAGAGGAAAATCCCCCTTCCAAGGGAGACTCAATCGAGTTGGTTTTCCTTTAGCTTTTCAAGCCACCTAACTAGGTTGATTTAGGGCAAACCTCAATGTTGAATTATGTAAATTGGTTAAGCGTGATTAAGCCGTCCAACCATTGAGTTGAGTGAGTTAGTAAGTCAACCACCGATCTCCTAAACCGAGAGGGCGGAGTGACATGGTCTATAATGTATACCTCGGTTTAGCGATCGAGAATGTGGTCTACGACCATATTTTCATCCCTCTGCGGTTCGCGGTTACCTTGCCCATAGCAATCGTTAAAATTCCCATACCATGGTAGTAGTTAGGGGGAAGCGACACCCGAGTGATCCTTCTCACAAAGAGCTTTCAAAACCATTTACCTTTGTCTTGTTTTATTTTAATTAACAAACTTTTCAACCAAAACTTTGTTGCTAAATAATGATTCAAATGACTGAAGTACGGGTACACGGACCGACCCAGGTTGATATTTAAATATACTTATCCTGTACTACACCCGACTTAGGTTTATACTTCTACCCTAGGCGGGAAATTATTGTGGTATTCGGGACGAGTCAAGTACTATGAGTTACATGTATGGAGGTATCTTATCCATTGTTAGCTTGGGGGGGGGGGGGGGGTTCCTTCCCCGTTGAGAATTGCACGAGGTTAGACATCTCAATGATCCTTTAGAATTGGCGCATCATATTCTTCTCCTACGAAAACATATAGAAACTCGTTTAAACATGTTGTAGTTTCAAAACTAGAGTTTCTTTGAGGTGTCAAAATAGCGTCGTTACCGCCAAATTTGATGAAATTTGTTCACTCGAGCCACCATTTCTCTCAAGGCAGGGATAATGGTCCTTTTTTTTTTTTTTTTTTTTTTGTCTCTTTGATGGCCTTGACTTCCTCCACCTTTGATTTGAGAATTTTTGTGGTTTCAGTAGCAGGAGGAAGTATGCCTTTACAAAGGACATATCATCAACCTTATGGGATAAGGATTTATGATTATACATATCTTAAAATTATAATAATAAATGAAATGTAGTCTAATGGAAAACTTGTTACTTAATAAGTAGGGTGTTACAATTTCAAATCCCACAAGCCACAATTATTTTTCCATTTTTTTTCTAGACTCCAATTACTACCGGGGGTTCGATAATGACTTTTTTCCAGAAATAACATCGTTTTAAAAAATAATTCCAAAAATAGAACCCAACCCGAAAAAATTCCAAAAATAACACCATTTCACGAAAAACCGCCACCCGGGGCGCGGATCGAAAACCGCATGGGTATGGGGCGGTTTTGTCGACCACGTGGAGCCGGGGCAGTTTGGTTGCAAATCGCACCCCCACCCGGCGGTTTGGGTTATATATTTTTTTCGAATAAATACCATAAGCGGTCTTGGCACAACTGGTTTAGCTGTTTATTGTGTGCAAGAAGTCCCAGGTTTGAATCCCCATCATCTCATATTAAGTTTTTTTATTTAGTAGAGATTATAAAAAGGAGCATGTTGTGGGGATGGTGGTTCGAACCCAAATATAATAAATATTTAATTAAATTTAACACAACATCTACACCACCAAACTACAACTCTTCTTTTGAAACGAAAACATATTGCCAAAGTTTTATTCCTTGAACGCTAAAAATCCTCAATAACTTTGAACAACCATAACTTTGTGCTCCAAAATCCGAAAGTCATGAATTTTTTTTTTTCATTTTGCATAACTTTTTGGGTGTGCCTACGGTGACATGCATGTCACGGTGACTTGCACTTTCCGGTCGACCTCAGTTAGGATTAGGTCGACCTCATTTAGAATTTGGTCGACCTCATATAAGATCCGGTCGACCTCATTTAGGATTCGGTCGACCTCATATAGGATCCGGTCGACCTAATATGTTGTTTCGGTGTAAAAACAGTTCATGGTGCCTACTTTGGATATTCATATCATACAATTGACTAGATGGAAATTGAAGACTAATGACTTGTTTTTAAGCTGGAGTGTCCCTCTACATATTGAAGTGATTGAGAGCTCGATAGGAAGTCCAGAAAACCATTTTTGAACCTCATCAAAAGGCTATGCCAAAACTGGGAAACTGCCTAGAAATGGCTAAGTCTGGAAACGTGTTTGTGAAGCCTATTTTTGAGCTCAATTCGAGAAGCATGAATGCGAGTCGAGTCCAGGAGCCTCTACCACGTTAAATTAGGTATGTTTTTATACAAATTCAAGGAATTGGATGAAAGATTGGATATCTTTAAAGCTTCAAACAAAAGGGTCGAAGTTGCTACGAAGGCTGTTTTTCTGGCAGACTTCGAGCACAAGCAAGCTGCCAGAAAAACAGCCTTCGTAGCAACTTCGAGCCTTTTGTTTGAAGCCTTAAAGATATTCAATCTTTCATTCAATGACTTGCCTTTGTATAAAAAAAATACGTAATTTAACGTGGTAAAGGCCCCTGGACTTGACTCGCATCCATGCTTCTCAAATTGAGCTCCAAAGTAGGCTTGACAAACACGTTGCCAGACTTAGCCATTTTCAGGCAGTTTCCCAGTTTTGGCATAGCCTTTTGGTCAGGTTCAAAAATGGTCTTCTGGACTTTCTATTGAGCTCCCAAGTACTTTAATGTGTAGAGGGACACTTCAACTTCAAAACAAGCCTTTAATCTCCAATTTCCATCTAGCCAATTGTAAAATATGAATATCCAAAGTAAGCACCATGAAACTGTTTTTACACTGAAACAACTGATTAGGTCGACCTGATCCTATATGAGGTCGACTGAAAAGTGCATGTCACCGTGACATGCATGTCACCGTGACATGCATGTCACCATAGCAAAATCCTAACTTTTTAAGTACTACAATTTTTACTAGGAATGAATTTTCAAAACAGGAATTATTTTTGGATATACAGGGTTTTGGGAATAACTTACCTTCCCTTTTCACAAATCCACGTACATTCCGAAATTATGTCTATGATAAACGTTGTAGTCCTTAAAAAGTTATGCGAAATGAAAAAAAAGTTCATGACGTTCGAATTTTGGAGCACAAAGTTATGGTTGTCCAAAGTTTGACGAGGACTTTTAGCGTTCAAGGAATAAAACTTTGTCAATATATTATTGTTTCAAAAGAAGAGTTGTATTTCGGTGGTGTAGATATTGTCCTAAAGTTAGTTAACTATTTACTATATCTGGGTTTGAACCACTATCTCCACAACATGTTGCTTTTTTTAATCTTTACTAATTAAAAATCTTAATATAGGATGATTGGAATTCAAAACTAGGACGTTTTGTATACAATATTGTGCCAAGACCACTTATGGTATTTATTCGGAAAAAAAAACATATAATACAAACCGCCGGGTGGGGGTGCGGTTTGCAACAACCCCCCCCCCCCCCCCCCCCGGTCTGCAAAACTGCCACCTACCCGTGCGGTTTTCGTCGAAAATCGCGCTCCCAGGTGATGATTTTGGTAAAAGAGTGCTATTTTTGGAATTGGGTGCTATTTTTGAATTTTTTTTATAAACAGTGCTATTTCAAAAATTCAGAAATGAGTCAATCTATTTCACAGATAACAAGTTGATGGAGAACTCTAGATCTTGATTTTTATAGAAATTTGTAAATATGAGTTATGTACCGTCAAAAAATCCACCAGAAAGAAAGTATTTTTTCTTCATTAAATTGGTCATTTTTCTGAGTACGTTTCTACTATAGATCTACTTCTCATCTGCTAGTCAAGCGGAACAACTAGTCTTTCAAAATCATGCAAAGAGTGAATTCCAACCAACTTTGCCCCTTCACCAACTTGCACATCCATGTCAACTTATTTATATCAAGCCGGTTGGGATTTCAAGCTTTCTAGCATTTGTTCTTGCATTCATCTCAACCTTGCCTTGTACTGATCTCTTTTACTAGTTTCAGCCTCGTCCAATGGAAGATGAAAGGGCTCTTCTATCCATGTTCCTCGTGGTAGCTTGTTTCTTTGTTTCGTGGGTTTTCGTGCACAGATGGAACCAGAGGAACAAGAAAGGTCCAAAAACGTGGCCAATCGTTGGAGCAGCCATTGAGCAGCTGATGAACTTTGACAGGATGCACGACTGGCTAGTCAATTACTTGTCTGAATCTCGGACTGTCGTGGTTCCAATGCCATCCACTACATACACTTACATAGCAGACCCTGCAAGTGTTGAGCATGTTCTCAAAACCAACTTTGCTAACTATCCAAAGGTATAAGTAAAACGAACGGCCAATTTTTCACCTTTCTTCTGCAGTATTTTCAGGTACTAACAGTTAACATGCTATGAAAACAAGGGAGAGACGTACCATTCATACATGGAAGTTCTGCTTGGAGATGGGATATTCAACGTCGATGGTGAGCTCTGGAGGAAACAAAGGAAAACAGCTAGCTTTGAATTTGCTTCCAAGAACTTGAGGGATTTCAGCACAGTTGTCTTCAGAGAGTACAGCCTTAAACTCTCTGCTATTCTCACTCAAACTTCTTTCCACAACCAAACAGTAGATATTCAGGTATAATGTTCAATTCAACACTGAAGTTTGTCTAATGTATTCTTGTTCCTGTAACTATCTGACCTGTAATTTCTTTCACAGGAACTTTTTATGAGGATGACTCTGGATTCAATATGCAAAGTCGGGTTTGGAGTGGAGATAGGATCTCTTGCACCGAACCTGCCAGAAAATCAGTTTGCACAGGCTTTCGATACTGCAAATATCATCGTGACACTTCGGTTCATCGATCCTTTGTGGAGGATCAAGAAGCTGTTCAATGTAGGCTCAGAAGCTCTACTCGACAAGAGCATCAAAACAATCAATGATTTCACGTATTCTGTAATCCGAAGAAGGAAAACAGAACTAGAAGAAGAAGGTCAAGCACATTGTAAAGATAACAAGGTGGTAAGTTCTATTCATTCAACAATAATGACAACTACCCCTACATATTCCACAGCCACCAATGATATGTTTGCTTTCTCGTGTGGCAGATGAAACAAGACATATTATCAAGGTTCATAGAGCTAGGCAAAGACCCAGAGAGCAAAATGACAGACAAGGGCCTAAGAGATGTTGTTCTCAACTTTGTGATAGCCGGTCGAGACACGACAGCCACAACTCTCTCATGGGCTGTTTACATGATAATGACACATGGACATGTAGCCGAAAAGCTCTACATGGAGCTCAAAACATTTGAGAATGAGAGAGCAAATGAAGAGAATGCAACATTGATTCAATGTGCTGATGTGGATGACATTGAATTATTTAACAAGCGTGTAATGCAGTATGCAGGGCTTTTGAACTATGATTCATTAGGGAAACTGCATTACCTCCATGCTGTGATTACAGAGACACTTAGGCTTTACCCAGCAGTCCCTCAAGACCCAAAAGGCATCCTAGAGGATGATGTGTTACCAGATGGTACTAAAGTGAAAGCCGGAGGCATGGTGACTTATGTACCCTATTCCATGGGAAGGATGGAGTATAACTGGGGACCTGATGCAGCTTTGTTCAAGCCAGAGAGATGGCTGAAAGATGGGTTGTTCCAGAACTCGTCTCCTTTCAAGTTCACAGCATTTCAAGTAAGTCTTTTCTAGAACCACTTTGCCACTAAACCAATCTTGTAATGGTTGGAGCTAAAGGGAGCTCTCTGTCTGTTGATGTGTTTGCAGGCTGGACCAAGAATCTGCCTTGGTAAAGACTCAGCATATCTCCAAATGAAGATGGCACTAGCCATTTTGTGCAGGTTCTTCAAGTTCAATTTGGTGCCAAATCACCCAGTTCAATACCGAATGATGACCATTCTGTCGATGGCACATGGCTTGAAGCTGAAAACAGTTAGATGCCTGTGACATATAAGTATATTTATGCAAATCACTAAATGTTACTGTACTCCATGTTGAATAACCACTAGAAATTCAGAGTTCTAAACTGAACTAACAAGAAAGTTCTAATTGCACCATGAGGGATCACCATATAGATCAAACAGCAATCTTTCATAACACATCATAAAAGTGATCATACACCATAAATGAGGAATAAATGAAGAACTCGTCACCTCATTTCCAATATGAGTTTCTTGGTTCAACACGGAGGAAGGCTTTATACAGATAGCTTCAAACATTTCAAGTACACAGCGATTTGGGAGTTAAATATTCATGCATATGATGGAATAAGGTAACTGGAAGGACATCATGGTTTGCACTTAATTAAGTAACTTCTGCTTCTTCTCTTGCCACTCACGGATCTCAGTATCAACCTTGGCCTGAACAGTTGCATGAAATCCAGGGTACGGTTCATAACCGAAGAAGGTCTGCAGAGTCTGAGAAAGGGCAGAGGAAAATTCAATCGAACGTGTCAGAAGGAAAATTGCAGAAAACCAGTGTAAGTAATGAAATGAGAAACCAATTATTACCTCCAATAACACAAAGAAGGGAGCCATTAGAAATGCTTGAATGAGGTTGTCCAAAAGAGCTGGTGCTCGTTTCTATAGAACATCAAATCAACACTTGAGCCACAAGACTAAATTAAAAAAGACATCACTGAATTCTCAAGATTAGAAGATTACTAAACCTCAAAGACACCATGCCCAATGAACTGTCCAGTCCAGCATACAATCTGGGCAACCACAACAACCTGAAACAACATATAAATGGAGCTCTCAGCACATGAATCAGATTTCCCCAACTTGAAGACAAAAAATGGACAACTTATATATGACGCCAACTTCAGGTATGACTGATAAAATCAATCTAGTTTTTATCACCAGTGTCCCACAAGCAAAAAATGGATTCTCAGCTTGATAATCAATGAGTTTTGGCTTCACAGCAAGGCTAACAAATTTGTTGGACAGAGTCTAAACAGTATCGAAGCAGTAAAAACAATTACAAAGTCAAAAGCACAGCTCCAGAACTTTATCAGCGTTGGTTAGGTGGTGGTACTTTAATAAGAAGAAAAGCCAAAGATGTCAGCATCTTTGTTTCAAGTACATGTTCAAAATCAGAACGACTTCAGTTTAAGAATTTCAGAAACACAATCAGAGGGAACTACAATCAACATAGGTGAGAAAACCATATATAAAAAAATCATGTTCCTTTTCGTCACAAATTTTCTCACCTTCCAAGCAAGGGAGAATCCGAGCCAGCAACCCAAGAAGCTACTGCCTACCCAGCAGAAGAGCAAAAGCAGAGCAGCCAAGGAGCCCGCTTTCTTATCCAAACAGATATAGAAAACACCATAGATCACTGTAAACAACAACCCGACATTGAGAACTAGAAAGGCATCGATCCCCAAGAAGGAGAACTCAAACTTGGGCGGTAAAGAAGGCGTGAAGTAGAGAATCAATTGGGCAGTGAAGAGAATCGGCCAGACGAATATCATGTGAATCAGAATGTTAGTTGGGTTGCTGTGATAAGCTCCATAGAAGGCGAAGTGCCGCTCCAGATCAAACAGCGAACACCTTCCCATGAAAACGAAAACTGGAACTCAATTTTTCTATATGCCTGGTCTGGGAGCTCTGAGGAGAAAACAATAATTGGGTATTGTCAATTTGATGAACAAGGAGAAGGGTTATGTCGATTAAAAGGAATCAAGGGATGAGATACTGGAAAAGGTCGAGACTTTGGTCGATGGGAAATAGAAGAATACGAAGGATGGGAAACCTTTGGGCTTTGGAGAGTGGGAGAGGCGGAAGAACAGAGGAAGCCGCAAAGTCCAAGGAAACGAATACAAAAATACAAGCATGTAAAGGAATTCGGCAAAAGTTTGGTTTTCGTTGGTTAGGTAGGTGGCTTTAGGTCATTGCTTTGCTGGATAGTTGATACTCATCCCAGATTTTGCTCCCTCGTGACAATGTTTATTAGTTTGTTTTAGCCTCTAGGGCAGCGTGGAATTGATTGCCTGATTTGAATACTGGTAAATACTTAATAGTATCGTATTGAAAAGAAGAAGAAAAAAAAAAACAGTAGTGCGCTCATGCGTGTTTAACATTTTCAGTTAGACTGGAGGCGAGATGTCGGCATGTCGGGCCTTATCGTGGGACGGAGATGGCCGGGAACGGATTAGGTATCTTATTGCGAGTAAGCATCAGTAACCCGTCCACATCAGCATGACATCAGCATCCTTCTCTTTCTTGAAAAACCTTTAATTTTTCCCTCCTTAATCTTTGACGATCGATTTCTCACTCGTTTTAAGTCGAAATTTAATTTTTTTGCATAGTTAGATCAGATTAATTGTGCTATACCATATGGTATTGACGGGTATTGAAATAAGATCATACCTATTGTTCAAAAAGTGTACCATGGTGGTATGAACAAACCAAGACTGTAGAATGGTTGAATACATGATAGTAGAAGTATATTACCTGTCATTTACGACTTTTAACATTGTGTACCACAAGATACCACCCCATACCAGGGTGGTATTATATGGTATTGTGTGGTATTTTTTGGTCCTGTAATTTGTTCACCCAGAAATTTGTAGATCCAATAGATCATGATGAACTCGTTCCTTCTGTGCAAACGTTCTCAAAAACGAATTAAAAACAAAGAAGATACCATATGATATGCAGTTGGTACTGAGAGGCAAGAATTTTTTTTTTCTAAAAAACTATTTTAAATGGATCTCATTTTGTAGAGCACAACAAACTCGTTCCATCTGTGCAAAAAAATTTAAAATCCGAGTTAAAACAAAGAAGATATGAGCCGATTAAGAAAGTTAGGAAAAATAAAAATGACATTTAATTCTCCATCCTTAGATCTGAATTTTCTAAATGAAGGGTCTAGATTTAGTTATTGATGAGTGCATGACCCATGGTTATGTACCCTATCTTGAGCCGAGATGGCCTATGGGCATGTATCATGTGACCTATTATGGTGTTTTGTTAGTATTATTAGCCTAAATTTAATTTTTTTGTTAGCTGTTTTGTTAGTAATATTGTCTTGACAATATGATATTGAGTGAGAGAGATATATGGCGGTCAACATCCAATTTAATTTTTTTTGAAAATTTTGGCTAATAAATGATATTTACCAAAATCCAAGTAGACTCATTGATTATGGTAGGGTATGAGTGACATATATATATGGGTTTGGAAGTTTGTAGATGGGGTAGGGTAGGGTATGGATACAGTGGCGGAGCCACTCAAGGCAAATGTGGGTCATTTTCACCACATTGGCCCAAAAAATGTAGAGTAAATTAGTCTAAATGATTGTAGATTGAATACACATCTTCATATTCTCGTAGATAATTTTACGAAAAAGTAATGTTTTGTGATCTATATTTTACTTTTAATTCATATTTTGTGTAAAGTGAGTTTAATATAAACAAAAGCTCGAAGTGGTTGTTGCTATAAGTTGTTATTGCAAGTGTTGAAAGAGCATTTAGTGCAATCAACAAAGTGAAGAAACACTTCAGAATAAGATGAGTTCTGGAATCATGAACGATTTTTCGTTCTGGTATCTTAACAACCTCATAATTTGCATAATGAATGTATTTTAGAAATTTTTTTGAACATGAACATATCCTGGAACTTACGTTTGATGTATTTTTTTCACGCTTTACCTACCTTAGATAAATTTTTGGCTATGCCACTGTATGAATATCTACTTTCATAATATAAATGTGTATGAGTTGGGTATGGATACCCATTTATTCGAGCGTGTTTTAATTACACATACAAAAATTAGACCTATTTGTAGAACTTCAAAAGTTTAGGTACCAAAATGTAATACACAAAAATTTCAGGTACTACAATTTAATATTTCATCAATATTTTGAGGACTTATATGCCAAGAAAATAATTTTAGGTTATAAATCTAAAAATCTATTAAGTTTAGGTACCAAATTGTAATTTGCATAATTGAGGCTTAATTTCTTTTATGATGGTGTATTTTAAGATGATAATTATTTACTTTTTTATAGAAAATAGTAAACTATTTATTTGATATGTGTAGATACCTAGTCAAACATTCCATGTATAATTGTTCAAAATTCTAGACCGGGTGAAAAAAGAAAAACTCTAGAGAGAAGCAAAAAAAAAAAAAAAAAATACCAACTCGAAATCCCATAGTGGAAAATGACGACTTTCTAATAAGTAATAACCACATATATTTATTTTTAATTGGACTCGACATTGAGCTGAAAAAGTTAGTGGTTCATGATTCAATTATTAATTCTCTAGACTGTTGGTCAGTCATGTATGGACCCGTTCATACTTGTGATTAGAATAAATAAAAATAGTATACTAATTAGGGTTAAACGAAGAAGGCAAAGAAATATATAAAGAAAGGGTTATGGAAGGAGAGTGAAAAATGAAATAAAGAGGAAGTAGATGATGGAAATGTTTTGACCAATTCTTTTAGTTGGCGGTCAATACAACAGCCAACCCTTTTCACCGTAGCAATTTATTGACAATTGCTTATGTAGATGTCGCATATTTTGTTACATGTAGTTAGTAGAAGTTTGTTTAGTCCCCGTAAATGTACTAAATGAATTTATAAATTCGCTCTTGCAATATTTTAGAATCGTCTCTCTTTTATCATTTATTTAATGTATAACGTAATGAACAAATATAAAATGGTCGAATCTTCTCCTATAGTTGGACCAATATATAAATTTAAAAAGTTATGTGTAGGAAAATCTCATAAAATTTAGATATAAAAACATAATTGTTTAATACTTTTACATTAAAATTAAATTTAGGGTATCAAAATATAAAATATACAATATAGTAACTAAATTGTAATTTAATAAAATTTGGGGTATCACAAAATAATTGTTTATCAACAGTATACTCAGTTTATATATATTAATGTTATCTTAATTAGTTTGCTCTTTTACCTTCTTCCGGTCA